TATAATATAAAAATATACTATTATAGACATAAATCTTTGTATTTCTTTTCGTATGTACAATAATCCCTAATCCAGATGTCAAGGGTGTCGAAGTGATGTCGAAAATTTCTAATCATAAATCAGTTTTATCAGAGTATCTTTTGCATTAAATTGATTTTATTTCCAACATTAGTAGTTATTGGGACGTCATAATTCATTTGACTACATGTACTTCTAGATTTGGAGATTTGGATAAAAAAAAAAAAAAAAAAAAAAAAAAAAAAAAAAAAAAAAAAAAAAAAAAAAAAAAAAAAAAATAAAAAAAGAAACCAAAAAAAAAAAAAAAAACGAAATAAAGGAGAAGACTATAAGTGTCTTCGTCTTTTATTGGCAGATCCAACCAAGCAGCGAAGACGATGATAATGAGCAGCAGGCCAGTAGCGAGGGATCAACCAATGACGGTGGCAAAGTCGACGCGTCCACGAGCGCCAAACTCAGGAAGCGCCGGAAACGTGTCACGGGCAGCGGCAAAAAGTCAACAGTCGACGAGAACTTCACCGTCGACCAGATAGCTGCGATAATCGGTATAATCAAGTGAGCCCGGCGATTAACCGATTCCTTGCTCTCCTCGTACGACCCCAAGCGCAAAAAGCAATGAAAAGTTGCAGGACATAACACAATGATGGACATGACGATGGATGCGACTCCTTGGTTTTTCCTTTTTTTTTTCTTTTTTTTTTTTCTCCGTACAACGTCTAGAAAAACACGCGAGTCGAGAATGAGTTTACAGACGATGAACGTCTCTTAAAACTCATCGATCATGTGTATTATAGCGCTAAACGATATACGATTGGACGACGGGCCTCTTTCTCTCACTATTTCCGACACTCGCTGGCAATGTGCTGCACGTGTGCGCTCCCAGTTGCGTGATTATCTGGAAAAGTGATTGGATGTTTTTTTTAATACGAAAGATTTGATTTTTTTATAATTGTTAGTTTTTTTAACGTAAGGAAGATATAAATCTTATATGATTCGCACTTTGTACTCGATGTTGCATTGATTTTTATAAAAATCGAACATAGTCGAGAGTGAAGACTACTTTTACTACTATATGGATATGATTGTATTAGATTTTTTATTACCAATAAGTATAAACCGATCATCGCAATAGTCATTTTGTTAGATTTACGTGCTTACTTATGTTATGCTTAATTTTTGTAGCTAGACACTTTACTGTGAATCATGAAATATGGTAAAATGTATAATTTATAGTTTTTAATTTAGCAGGAAAATCATTTTAGTGATTTGCATTTTATACTAGAGGCTTATATACTGCTAATTATAAAACTTGTATATAGAATTTTTTTTTTTTTTTTTTTTTACTATCACACAAGTTGTTGTTTCATAAGTAAGTACGGAATTCGAGTTGGACGTTGATTAGCTTGCTAAACACAATTTGTCGGATCAACCTTCAACCCAGTATATGATTTTATACAAAGTGCTGTAAGAACTTGGTTTTTTTTTTTTTTTTTTTTTTTTTTTTTTTTTTTTTTTTTT